GAATGAATCGCTAAATTAGAATTTCAAAATTAACCCAACTGAATCCCTAATTCCTAAATCCCTAAAATAGAATTTAGAAAGAAAAAAAATTGAAATTGAATGACATGAAGAAGAAGAGAACCAGAGAAGTAGGTGGTTCAGGTTAGTGGTAAAGAGGATTACTGAAATTTGAAGACGGAGAAGAAGAGGACTTACAGAGAAGGAGAGGGAGAGAGATAGAGGACCGTAGCCAAAAATGGAGCCCATGAATGCCCCTAATGTTGCAATAATAAGAAAAGGGGATCAACGAATTTATAACAGACAGAGAGTACAAAACTAATATCAGAACTCACCGCTGTCGAGAACGACAACGGAGGTCGCGACTGTGGCTGGGCTGTGGAGTCGCGATAGTGGCTTCGCGGTGGAGGTCGACAACGGAGGTCGTGAGTTGCGGCGGCTTGGCTAGGGTCAAGCTAGGGTTCCGAATTTGAGGAGAGCTGGGTTATGACGATTGATGGGTGGAGAACTGGATTGGACAGTAGGGAGATGGCTGGCGAGCTGGAGCTGAGGCAAGATTTGAGAGAGTGCGAGAGAGGAGAGGAATTAGGAGAAGTTGGGCGTTAGAAAATGAATTTTTGAGATGATAAAGTGTCAATAATAAAAAAAAAGACCCAAAACCCTCCGTTGTGTCTGTGTTGGTTGCAAGATATTTGCTGAATGGATTTTGGTTCTTTGATAACCACAAACCAGAGATGGCGAGAGAGAGAGAGAGAGAGAGAGAGAGAGAAGAAAAACATATTGCAGAGTGGGTGGCTTGGGAGGAAGGAGGGTTAACCAGGATGAGAGAGCGCGCTTTGCACTTTCGGATTGCATCTTTTTGGTATGGGTAATTTCAACTCGGTTTTACCAAAAAGCCAATATTGAAAACTCACCGTTGGATTCATCCAACGGCTCTTACATACCCCTCAAAAACACCCCTTATAACTTTCCCCTCACTATAGAAGCTCCCCAAGGTTGGGCCTAAAAATGAAAGCCTGTCCCTCCAAATGAAATGCTCTACCAAACCAAACGGCCCACACCACAAAGGTACGAAGGTGGGTTTCCGAGAAGAAGACGTAGGTCCCAATCATTCAACTTTAATCTTATATTGACCAGACACTAGACCATATCTTTAATCTTATGTCCTATAGCGATTCAACCTTTGTTTTTCTCTTCCTTTCGTTCTCACTTTTGTCCTTTTTGTCAATTTATTTTCTCAAGTTGCATACCTTTTTTCAATTCAAGTCACATCCTCCATTGCATTATTGATATTAATTGGCATATGCTTTCCACGACAGATTGATATAGACACACGTAGGTTTACATTTCATATAGCTAACATGCGTTGAACCTTTTTTACTCCGACTGCATGTAGGGTTTGTTTGTATGAAATGCCGTAAAAGAAAGAAATTAGATTTGATAATACATAAAACATTAGATAGATTGTATGCACTTAAAATACATAGTGTATTCTTTCGTTACAAAGAACACCATAAGGAAAAAGAGATTCAAACTATAGTCTTAAATGTGAAGCTAAGCATCCTCACTCTCGCTAGAGCTATAAATTCCCTCGAGGATACGGTTTAGGACATCCTGACCAGAGTTGGAGCCACAGTGAGGTCACTGGGGTCAATCAACCATATGGAAGCCATGAAAATAGGCTTGGAGAGGTCCACCTGAACCGGTGGTGCGACCCTATGGACTGCCTTCATACTACTCGATGTTTTGCTTGAGGAAGAAGAAGTGTACTGCACTTTTTTATTTATTTATTTATATTTATTATAACTCCCTACGTAAAATGACGTTGTTTTGGCTCTGTTAATTTTTTTTTAAAATGATCTGGCCACAACGACGTCGTTTTGAGCCAAGTCATTTATAAAAAAAAAAAAGAAGAAGAAAGTTTTCTTTCAGCTTTCCCCCACCCTTCAAAGCCCATTCGACATTCACCCCCAAAAACCCCAATTAATTTATATTATTCTCTCTTCAAACCCTAACCCAACCTCCCTAATCCCACATGTTATAGTGCCCCCGATGTGTTCCCACTGCCGTCGGAGTTATGCCGCCGTCCACCACCTATTATTGCAGCACTATTATTGTTTTTTGGTTAATTGGCATAAATTTGGTTTGAAATTTTACAAATTGAAATCACTCAAAAGCAGAAATCGAAAAAATGATAGATTGAAATCATTCAAGTATATTTGTCCAAGAAAGGAATAACATTTGGAAGAGAAAAAATGGATTAAAAAAAAAAACCTCTCTTAAATTTTCTTTGGAATATTTACATCATCACCACGTAGGGTTTGAATTCTGGATCTGTCAATAATAGTGAGTTTGGCCATTTTTCTTTCCCATGTGCATGCATCAGTCATGAGTTGCCACTAAACTCATTTTTTCTTTATTTGAGGACACAATGATAGTACACAAGAGTCTGCTGCTTTTTGAATATAAATTTGGTATATTCTCTAACTCCAGTTCCCGTGAATGTGATTTTGGACAATTGTACTTGTCTTCTTGTTCATATATTCTACCATGTTGCTTTCCTTTTGACCCGCTTTTCCTTGGTGTGTGTCTACTAGGCATATATATATATATATATATATTTATAACAGAAGATAAGATATTTACAAAAAGTATAGTTTATAACCGACTAATATACTCACAACAAAATTACACTGTTATAATGGGTTAGTCATCGTTATTCATGTGAATTCAACCTAGGGCCTCACCAAATTAAGTAGAGACAATACAATCGGACTAAAAACGAGTTGATGACTAATATGCGTAATTGAATATCTCCGAATATTAATTATATGTTAATTTCACTCGTTAATATATCGACCATCACGTAGTTGTAGGAGAAGTTGGATCACAAATATGACGACGTAAATTATTTCTTCAAAATTTAATTTAAAAGAATTGATTTGTACTGCATTAGGTGAGCAATGTTTTTGTTGCTTTGCTTGTATGATTGGCCCAAAATTGAAAAGCAGAAGGATCAAAGAATAAAGAAAGAAAAAGTAGCCAGGCCTAATGTATATCAAGTTGCAGTATATAGTATTCCTGTCAACTTTTGCCTCAGAATTCAAGTCCTATAAATATAAGCACTCACTCCATTACACTCTCAGCATCTCAAAGTTCACTACAATGGAGCACTTTCGTTTCATTTTCCTTTCTTCTTTCCTCTATGTAAGTTTTCAATAAGGTCCACAAACAAAATCTTAATTAGTAATTAGTCTCGTGTGTGTTTCTGTGTAACCTTCAGTACTTGATTAAATAGGAAAATAATTAAACTTTACTTTTTCTCAAACTTTGTTGCAGGTCATATTGCTGGTTGGAGTCTTTGCTTCTGAAGATGTATACTGGGAGACTTACTGGCAGTCAGCTTTGCCAAAAACTCCAATTCCCCAAGCTGTGCAGGAACTTTTACACCCTGGTTAGCTTCAAATACACCCCAAACAAAAACCCTTTCTTTTTTGTAGCTATATATTTTCATCAAAGTTGGTAAGGATGTAATTTGTGGCACAAGTTTGAGCTTTGTAGTTTCATTATTCCAGGCTAGGCTCATTGGTAAACTTTAGCTACTGCAAACAAACCAGATCTCCTGTCCTCTGTGTGTGTGGGTGCTTTCTTTTTTTTTTTTTTTGGGTTCTTTTTGTTTTTGGGTTTGTAACATATGCCCCTGTTAAGGAAATCAACCAGAAGTTCTGGTCCAGAACTGATACTGACTACACAAAATTTATATACTTCCAGTAGCTTTGAGCAAGCTTTTCTACTAATTGTACCATGAAGTTTACAAGCAAGACTTATAGCAATCAAACAACAGACAGAAGATTAAAATTATGTACAACTTTTGTAGCTGCATATTTAAACTTTTTTAAATGTTTCTTGTTGCTTATACAGAGAACTGGCCAGGGACAGAAGGCAAAAGCACATACACTGGGATCAGCAAGGATGCTTTGAACGTCAATACCATTCAATCCGGGTCTGCATTTCCCACTGCAGGTCCAGATAGCTATGCCAAAGCCGCCACAGGAAAAATCCCAGTTGAGCAAGGCGTTACGACTTTCTTCTTTGAAAAAGATCTGCATTTGGGGAAGAAAATGACCTTACACTTCCCCAAAACCACAAACAACGCTAACCTTTTGCCGCGTCTAGTTGCAAGGGCCCAACCCTTTTCAAGCAGCAAGTTACCCGAGATTCTAAACCGCTTTTCGCTGAAACCCGAATCAGCAGAAGCAGAGATAGTGAAGCAAACAATCGAAGAATGCGAGGAACCAAGCATCGAAGGGGAAGAAAAGTACTGCGCGACGTCATTAGAATCTTTAGTCGATTTCAGTGTTTCGAAGCTCGGGAAATATGCTGAGGTGTTCTCAACAAAAGTGGACGTAGAAAACAAGCAGGAATATAGGATTGCGAGGAGAGTGGAGAAAGTTGGAGAGAGGTCGGTGGTCTGCCATAAGCAGAAGTATGTGTATGCTGTGTTTTACTGCCATGAAATCCGTTCAACAAGGGCTTACAAGGTTTCTTTGGTGGGAGCTGATGGAACAAAAGCAGAAGCGGTTGCTGTTTGCCACACCGATACAAGAAAATGGAACATTAAGCTTTTGGCTTTCCAGCTTCTCAAAATTAAGCCAGGAACTGTCCCTGTCTGCCATTTCTTGCCTAGTGGGAACCTTCTTTGGGTTCCAAACTAGAAAAGATTAGAACCTCATCTTGTGAAAACGATCATGTTTGTGGCAGAAACAAATGTGAGGGAATATATATATGTGTGTATGTATGTGTATTTCTGTGTACTTAACCTAAGTTAACGGTTGTCATGTGTTGTTGGGCGATTAGAAATTTCAGAAATTTCGTTGGCTCACAAACATGTGAATAAATGGTCCATGTCTGCCTGTCTACAATAGTGTTAGCTATATGGAGTTTAATAGTCCATGTGTGTTTAAGCAGAAGAAAACATGGTGTCAATCACATTTCATCTCTCTCTCTCTCTCTCTCTCAGTTTTTTTTTTCCTAGCAAAGCCCCCTGACTGGACGAAAATTGTTACTAAAATCACAACACTTGAGATAAAAATTTCTATGCCAGGATGTCCTGTAGGATAAAAGTTGTCCTAATATTATCAAATATTTACATTCTTTGCCATCACACCTCAAATGTCAACGTGTTTTCCCTTCCAAATTTTACGGGTTTTAGTCTTTCATCGTGCCAACATTATCTTGCATTCTCATACAATATATATATGTACCTAAATTATGCGATATGAGTAATTTATAGATAATAGGTAGATTACCATTCATAAATATTAATAGCTGCAGTCAGTTATGGGTATCACTAGTAAAAAACATCCCTTGCGCGACCAAACACAATTCGTCGCACAAAGTGACTTTGCGCGATGAAAATTAAACTTCGTCGCTCAAAGTCTTACGCGACTACATTTTACGCAACGAAACACAAATCGTCGCACAAAGTCACTTTGCGCGACGAAATAGCATCGTCACGAAAAGTAACTTTGCGCAACGAAACACTTAAATTCGGTGCACAAAGTCTTGCGCGATGAAGTGTGGTTCGTCTCGTAATATTTTATTTTTTAAAATCTATGCATAACTTTGCGCGACGAAAGACAAATGTTCGGTGCACAAAGTCTTGTGCGACGAAAGGTCATTCGTCTCGCAAAGTGTTTACAAAAATAAATAAAATAAAAAATTATTTTAAAAATTTTTTGGATGACTTTGCGCGACGAAATAATAATCTTCGTCCCGCAAAGTCTTTACAAAAATAAAAAAAATAAAAAAATTATTTTGTTAGAAAAATAT